TAGGCACCACTGTAATATTGCACACACTGATGAAGAAAACTGGCCGTGTTTTTTCTTGTGGAAATTTCATGTAGGCATGGGATTAGGTGGGGGTGACAAGTGAGAAAAGTGAAAAAATATACTCATTATTTCATTGTATGGAGTTACTAAAATCTGTTCATTCACTTAGCTTTTGAGGGAGATTTGGGCTGTTTCCAGCTTTTTTGAGTTATTCAGACTAAAATTCAAACTTTGTGTGTGTGTGTGTGTGTGTGTGTGTGTGTGTGTGGTGCTGGGGATTGAACCCAGGGCCTTGTGCTTGCGAGGCAAGCACTGTACCAACTGAGCTAGATCCCCAGCCCCAGACTAGAATTCACAGGAACATTTGTGCAAAAGTCTCTGTCCTAGTTCCGGTTGCTGTAATAATGTCCCTCAGACTAAGTGACTTAAACAACATTTCTTTCTCATAGTTCTGGAGATTGGAAGGCCAAGAGCAAGGTGCCAACAGAGCAAGAGCAAGGTGAGGTTGTTTTTCTGGGTTGTCGACTGCTAACATTTTTATGTATCCTAACATGGTGGAAAGAGGACCAGAGCTCTCTGGGTTCCCTCTCATAAGAGCACTAATTCCATTCCTGAGGATATACCACCTTAATGACTTAAATGCCTCACCTCCTCACACCATTACATTGGAGGTTAGGATTTCAACATAGAATTTTGTTGGGACACAAATATGCAGTTCAATGCATCTGTTTTCTGAAATTCCAAAATAACAGGAGGCAGTTTGGTCCTCTGAGACATTTGACAATATTAGGGGATATTTCTCCTAGTCATGCCTGTGAGGGTGCTACTGGCGTCTAGTAGGTAGAGGCCAGGAATACTTCTGAATATCCTACAGCGCCTGGGACACTCCTCACAGCAAAGACTACCAGGCCTGAAGTGTCAACAGCATCGAAAATGTGAAACTTGAGTTAGTTGCATGTTTAATTTTCTTTCTTTCTTCCTTTTTTTCTGGGTGGTAGGGATTGGACCCAGGGTCTTATGCATGCTAAGTGTATGCTTTACCACTGAGCTACATCACCAATCTGTGTTTGATTTTTAAAGAAGCTCCTAAATTTTTTCTAAATAGCCAATTTTGCATTCCCACTGGCAGATCATGAGAGTTGCTCCACATGCTCGTGAACACTTGGTATTGTTGTTGGTCTTTTTAATTTTAGCCACTTTACAAGGATAATGCATTATGGTTTTAATGTGTATTTCCTTATTGATTAATTTAGTTGAACTTTCTTTTCTTTTTTATACCAGGGATAGAACTCAAGGGTGTTTAGCCATTGAGGCACATTCCCAGACCATTTTACTTATTTTTTTTGGGGGGGGGTGTGGGGGAAGCAGGGATATCATAGATTGGACTCAGGGGCACTCCACCCAGTGGCTATATCCCCAACCCTATTTTGTATTTTTTTAATTTAGAGACGGGTCTCCCAAGGTTGCTTAGGGCCTCACTAAGTTGCTGAGGCTGGCTTTGAACTTGTGATCCTCCTGCCTCAGCCTCCCAAGCTGTTGGAATTACAGGCATGCACCATCACACCTGGCAGTTGAACATCCTTTTTCATGTACTTATTGGCCATTTGTATATCTTTTTTTGTGAGATGTCTATTCAAATTTTTTGCCCATTTTGTCTTTTTTATTGATGTTTTAAAAGTGCTTTATATATTTTACCTTTTTATTGCGAGAAACACATATAACATAAAGTGTATGATTTAATCATTTTAAGTGTGCATTTCAGTGACACTTTATAAATTTTTGATTCAATATCTTCATCAGATATTTTTATCCAGTCATCTGCCTTTTTAATTCCTCTCCAAGGTCATTTGAAGTGTTGATGTTTTAAATTTTAAATTAGTTTGTTAATTTTTATAATGTGAGTCATGATTTTCTGGTCATGTCTAAGGTTTTTTTTTTTTTTTTTTGTAGTGCTGGGGGTTGAACCCAGGCCTTGTGCATGCAAGGCAAGCACTCTACCAACTGAGATATATCCCCCACCCCAGGGGTTGATTTTTATTTAACTTTTTATACAATATACATTTAGTCCAGAACAATTTGTTGCAGGAATTCTTCTTTCTCTTTTGAATTATTTTGCCACTTTTGTCTTAATTACTGCAGGTTTATAGTAAATCTTGAAATCAGGTGATATGAATTTTTCAATTTAGTTTTCTTTTTTGTAACTGTTGTTTTGATTATTCCAAGACCTTAGAAATTCCATGTAAATTTTAGAAATACTTTGTCAATTTGTATAAAAAAATCTTGATGAGATTAAATTGAGCTTACATTGGATCTATAGATCCATTTGAAGAGTTGACATTTTAATATCACTGTTTCAATCCATGAAGATCTGTATCCATTTATTTGTATTTTCTTTAATTTCTGTTAGCAGTGTTGTTCTGTTTTCAGTGTAAAGATTTCACTTTTTTTCTAAATTAATTCCTAAATGTTTATATTTTTGTTGCTATTATAAATAGCATTTCAAAGTATAATTTTCTGATTGTTGCTAGTATACAGAAATATAATTAATTTTTGTATATTGACCTTGTATGCTATAATCTTACTAACTTCACTTACTAATTAGTTTTCTAAAAAATGGATTGCTTTTGATTTTCAGTGTAGATGGTGAACTCATCTGTAAATTAAGACTTTTACTTTATCCTTTTCAGCTTGTATGCTTATATCTTTTTATAGGTTAATTGTACCAAGACATTCTGTACTAGCTTTAACAGAAGCAGCGAGAGAACCATTGCCTTTTTCCTGATCTTAGAGGCAAAGTGTTAATATATTAACATGTGCTGCATTTTTTCATAGATACCCTTTATTAATAAAAAAGAATTTCAATATATTAATAGAGCTGTATGTTTTCCATAGACAGCCTTTATAAAATGAAGAATTTCCTTTCTATTAATAATTTTCTGAGTGTTTATCATACCAAATAATTGTTGTATATTTGTTGTGATGATCATTGGATTTATATTTGTGTTAATGTAGTAAACTACATTGATTGAATGGATTAATAATTGAATATTGAATTCCCCTCCCCCTTTTTTGGTACTAGGGATTGCACCCAGGGGCACTGAACTAAACTACATCCCTAGTCCTTATTTATTTTTTATTTTGAGACAGGATCTTGTTAAGTTGCTTAGTGCCTCATTAAGTTGCTGAGACTGGTCTTGAATTTGCGATTCTCCTGCCTCAGCCTCCAGAGTCTCTAGGATTACAGGTGTAAGCCATCATGCCTGGCATAGAATTTTTTTTTAATGTGTTTCTAGATTCAACTTACTAATACAGATGGGGTCATGTCCTGATAAATCCATCATGAGTTGAAAATGCATTTACTGTTTCTAACCTACTGACCATCCCAGATTAGCAACATGGTCCACTGCAGAATGTCCCATATCTCCCCTCACAATCATATGGCCGATTGGGAGCTGAGGTTCCTTACTGCTGTCCAGCATTACGGAAGACTATTGCACTATACCACATATTGCCAGCCCAGGAAAAGATCAAAATCCAGAATTCTAAGTATGGTTTCTACTGAATGCATAGCCTTTTTTTTTTGTACCATCACAAAATAAAGAATATTAAGTCAAACTATCAGAGACCATCTATATTTTGTTGACGATTTTGGCATTTGTAGGCATGAGGGATATTGGCCTGGATTTTCTTTTCCCAAAATGTCTTTGCTAGGTTTTGGTATCAGAGTAATCCTGGCCTGATAAAAAGAGTTGTGAAGTGTTCATTCCTCTTCTATTTTGTGAATTTCAGATTGTTATTTTTTTTCCTTAAATGTTTGATAGAATTTGTGTATATGAATATATATATATATATATAATTTGGATCTGGAGTTTTCATTGCAGGAAGATCTTTAAGTTATAGTTAAAATTGACATTCTTAGCTGGGTGTGGAGGCACATCCCTGTAATTCCAGTGACTCGGGAAGTGGACTCGGGAGGCTGAGGCAGGAGGATCACAAGTTCAAATCCAACCTTACAACTTAATGAGGCCCTAAGCAACTTAGCAAGATCCTGCCTCTAAATAAAAATTTTAAAAGGGCTGGGGATGTGGCTCAGTGGTTAAACGCCTCTGGGTTCAATCCCTGGTACCAATAAATAAATAAATAAATAAATAAATAATCAGTAATGTGATTCACAGTCCAATTAAGTGTCATGAATTTGCTGAAGACGACCTGAAGGGCACATGGCATGTGTTCTTAGTTATGCTAAAAGCCAGTGGTACAACTGTTCCACCTGTGATTGGCTACCATGTTGTCCTGTTGGAAAAGCATAAGAATATGAAAATAGTGACCAAAATTGAAAGAATATAAATAGGCTTGGGTGCAGTAGCTCTGTCTCCAGGATGGGATGATGGTCTTTATGTAAAAAAATCTGGTAGATTCTGGCTCACTATATCCATTTGTCTATTAGAGGCTGTGTGAGATCAAAGGGCATTAGTGGAAGGAAGCAGATAAAAGTCCAGTTAAAATATTTTTGAATATTTAAAACACTTATTAAAATTTTCCATTTAAAAAAAAATGTGAAATAGAGTAAAATCTCCCCACCCATCTTACCCTTGGATTCAGTTTCATCCACCCTTCCCACCAGAACCACACATTCTTTGGCTATCTTTCAATTTCTTTATGATTATGAAAGTAATATTAACATATATTTATCTTTCCTCCTTTGGAATATTAAGGAAGTATATTATACATAATGTTCTTTGTTTTTTTTTTTTTTTGATACCAGGGATTTGGTACCAGGAGTGTTTTTACCATTGATCACATCCCTCTCATTTTTTATATTTTATTTAAAGACAGGGTCTCACTGAGTTACTTAGGGCCTTGCTGAGTTGCTGAGGCTGGCTTTGAACTTGTGATCCTCTTGCCTCAGCCTCCGGAATCACTGGGATTACAGGCATGTGCTACTATATCTGGCTATAATGTTCTATATCCTACTTTTCTCCATTAAAAATATATTCCGGGTGCTTGCTTCGGTAGCACATATACTAAAATTGGAACAATACAGAGAAGATTAGCATGGTCCCTATGCAAGGATGACACACAAATTCATGAAGTACTCCATATTTAAGAAAAAATAAATAAATAAATAAATATATATATATATATATATATATATATATATATATATATATATTCTGGGGGCTGGGGTTGTGCTCAGTGGTGGAGTGCTTGCCTCACACATGTGAGGCACTGGGTTAGATCCTCAGCACTACATAAAATAAATAAAGGTATTGCATTTATCTACAACTAAAGAAAAAGTATATATATATTTTTTCCTGGAATTTTGTCTAGTTGTATATTTTCCCTTGTATGGATTACTGTGCATCATAATTTATATAGCCAATCCTCTATTGATGGACATTTAGATTTAAAAATTCCTTTCCTTTTGAAATTAATGCTGTGATGAATAGCCTTGTACATATATTATTTAATCTGTAGGTTAAATTCCCATAGATGGGACTGCTAGATCAAATAGTATTTGAATTTGTAAGTTGTTAGATGTTGCTAAATTGTTCTCCATTGGCAAACCCAAATATTTCAAAGGTATTCATTTTGAAAGTCCTTTACAGCGTTCAACTTGCTATAAAGATTTTTCTTCACTAGATCAGAGGAAGGAGGAAGAGGTAACATTTTTGAGATCATTTTCATAAGCAAATTCAAAATTCTTTACTAAATAAAAGAAGGAAATAAAAGCAAATTGTTTTACTATGTATCATGTGTCATCCTTGATTATTTATGTAGATGAATCCTCTCTACCATTATGAACTTGGCTTCATTGTTCTTACTCAAAGATGCAAAGAAAAGTCTCAGAAAGATTAAATTAAATATTCTATTTAAGATTTTGCTAAAGTTTTCTCTACAGAATCCAAAAGCTTTTTTCTTCTTTCTTAAGGGGAGAGACATGTCTCTAGCTGCAGAGATGCTCATATGAGCAGTGGTAGTCAATACATCTTGTCCCTGATTCTTGTGTTAGGATGAACAGCCAGGATGATATATGCTGACCATCAAGTTCTGATTCACCCAAAACTTAACTAACCTGTGAGACTCACTGTCAGAAGATGGAATCAAGTTAAATTCCCTGGAATAGAGATTTTTCATAGTTTTGTAGAATATCTTATCTAATAATAGCATTTTCTGTTACACAATCTAAGATAAGGCAATCAGATCATTTGCTTGAGGATATAAATTAATTGCTGGCAGAAGTCAGTCAAAAGAAAGAATATATGTTTTGACTGGAGTCCAGTGAGCAGAAAGACTTAATTCATGCAAGCTACTGCTTTCTAGATAACCCAAGGCAAAGAATAACCAGCCCTATTTCAGCCCTCCATCTGCAAAATGGAGAGGTTCTATTAGAGACAACATTGATCACTAACAGTATAGTTGGCATAAAATTAGTTATGATTTCTAATGCTGTATGAATTATGTATTTGGTTAAAAAAATACCAACTTTGTAGCCAAATAGACCTGACTTGGAACCCATTTCTTTGTATTGAGTATGTGACCTTGGGAACTTCAATTTTTTTTTTAAGTCTTGCTTTTATCTGAAAAAGTAAGGATATCAGTGATAACCACCTCATAGGTTTTTAGTGAAAATTAAATGAATCCATATGAATAAAATGCTTAGCACTGAGCCTGGGAACATAGTAGGTACTCATTAAATAGTAGTTGCTAGTCATGGTAGGACTCTTTTCCTATCTGAAGATCTCTTTAGTAGTGGCTATTGGGGCTGATTTCTGTACTGTGAGAAACAACTTTGTGTGTTTAATATGGCTTCATGCTCAGCTAAATCAAAACAGAGGTAAAGCTCCACCTGACCTTGTCGGCAATTAGCTTTTGCCTTTTCATGCGTGAGATTTGATTATCTTTATCATTGTCTTAGCTTGTGTTACCTACACATCATAAAATTATCCCAACCTTTTAATATCCTGTCAGAAACATTTATCTTTTTGACCTTCAGTGGAATTGTAGTAGGATTGCCTGCTGTTTGAATACATCTATCTATCTCATGTAATGTGAATTTGCCAGTGTTCAAGTTTAATATTTACACCATGGCCACTTAGGTGCCATGAGCTTTGATTCATCCTTGCCACTAGATGGCACTATAATAGAACACATTTGTTCTAGTTATCCTTTCCTGTCTAGGAAGACATGCCACAGAAACAGAAGCTGAGGAACGGCCCATGTGAAACTGAAGAAGAGAGGGCTTTGGAATAGGGCTATTTTATAAATGGGAGAATTTAGTGTTGGAGTTTTATATGTTTGTGTTCCTCCAAAAGTTGGTCTTGGAAGTAGTCATAAGAGAGCAGGAGAATGAGATTGAAGAGGAACAAAGGAGAAACATAAGTCTGACATTTTAACTTGCTGTGGGCAATAAGGCTCAATTCTATTGGAACTTACTAAGTAGCACGTAGACTGCCCCCTCTCCCAATCTTCAGCACAATGGCTGGGAGGCAGGAGTGCATATCCATTAGCTCTTGTCCATTGGTCCAGATTGGACTCTGTTCTTTCTCTCCATTTATGTATGGGTTAAGAGAATTCTTTCAAGCTCCCAAGACAGGCATGAGGCAGAAAGTAAAGATATTCAGTAGGGACTAGGGGTGAGATCTTATCATTTGAAGCAAATCTAAGACTATCGTGAATTACTATTCCAATCTGGTCAAAATCAAATGTAAGGCTAGGTGGATATGACTTGGGGCACCAGATGTGTCTGCTGCAGCTACCTAATAAATCATGAACTCGGTAAATTCTTCCAGTTGAAATAAACAAAGAATTCTAATGAACCATCTGCATCTCCAAATCCTTGGGGACTACTGATAGGTAGCCTAGCAAATGCTTAGTGAATAAAAATCTAAATGGCTATTACATGAAATTCAGAAGAAGGAAATATCTTGCCCTTTAGATCTTAGTATGAAAGAGTTTCCAAATCCTTTAATTCTTATGTACTAGGGTATAGAAGCAGGAGGTATTTGTTGCTGTAGGAACAGGAGTTTGCTATAGGAAAACTATGTGTTGGGGAATATGTAAAGGAGAAATTGTATTGTAGTGGGAGTCTGGAGAACTTGGGATCTACCTGTGATGTTGGATATATCTTTTAGGTTACCTTAAGATAACTTTTGGGAGCTCTGTGTCTTTATTGAGAGAAGATAGCTATCTATCCATCTATCTCCATATATAATCTCTAATTATCCTTAAAGTTTCTTCTAGCCCTAAGATATTATGAAAATTATATATGTAGAAGAATATTTGACTTTTGTGAATGGCTTTTTGTACTCAAATGTATATTTACGTTTACATGCATGACATGATAAGTTTGTAGACATTGGAATTGATTTAAAGATGAGCAAATCTTGATTTTTTAAAAATAGAAGTTTCTTTGGTTTCCAAAAAATAGTATGTCAGATATGCAAGTAAACAGAAGAAATATTAATATTAAGATATGCATATGTACTATAAATTAAACCTTTTTATTCTGCATATTGTGTATTCAAGTGAAATTTTTATTCTGAAAAATGGAGTAATTAGTCAGGCAAGGATTGAACAGGAAGCAGAGATCTAGAACTTGCAGCAATATCACTAGGATGAAGAGATCAAATTTGAACTTCAGGGCTAGTGAAGGAGACAGAACTTACAGGGAGTCAAGATCCTGAAGAGGAGTGCTCTGAAAATTCCTTACAAAATTTCTCTTCAAGGCATTAGCTAATTCCTGAACCATGCATGAATGGAGTAAAAGGCTAAGAAATCCAGAAAAAAAATAAAAAATGTTAAGAGGCTAAAAAGCTTATTAGAGCTTTTGGCAGTCTGGGGAAAAAACAAACAAGCAAAAATATAATTTAGAACCTGCCAAAAGTAAAATTTCCCGGCTTTTAGATGATACTTCTGAAGTGTTGTGGCTGATGGTAGGGATAAATCAGTAATAGATCAGCCTTCACAAAGTGTTAACAATAGGCTTCCATTGCCGGGTGCAGTGGTGCATGCCTGTAATCTCAGAGGCTGGGGAGGCTAAGGCAGGAGGATCCTTAGCCAGCCTCAAAATAGCGAGGCACTAAGCAACTTAGGGAGACTCTGACTCTAAGTAAAATACAAAAAAAAAAAAAAAGGCTGGGGATGTGGCTCAGTGGTTGAGTAACCCTGAGTTCAATCACAGTTCCCTCCCTATAAAAGACTTTCATTATTTTAATTCCTGATTCAATCAGGGTTTCCTGTTTTTCAGGCAGAGGAGAGTAATATCTTCTCTGAAGAAATATAAGATCATCCATTGAATCTCTGCCACCTCTCATGCATGTAATGTCAGTGCTCAATCTAAAAGACCATGTGTGCCAGGAAACAGGACCAAATGACAAAAGCTAACAGGAAAAAAACAAAACAAAACAAAATAGCTGGTATAGATTTGGGGGTTAACAGAAATATAATCTTAAATATAATCAGTAGGTTAAAGAAAGTAGATTAAAAACAAAAGAATGTCATCAAAACATTAGAATGTATAAAAACACCATTAAATGGAAATTCTATAGGAGAAAAAAACAAGAAGTCAAAATATAACTGCAGATGAGACAACAGAATAGAATTAGGGAGCTGAAAATAGAGAATTGAGAAACTGGAAGTTGGTAAGTAGCAAATATTATATTTGAAGTTCAAAGAAGAAAAATGAATGGAAAATATAGATAATATCATATAAAACTTGATAAAAAATGTAGTAAGGGTAATCAATGTTTAATTGAAGTTCTAGAAGAAGAGGAGAGAGGAAATAAAACAGGAGAAATAGTTGAAAATATACTGGCAAAATAATTTTTGGAACTGATCAAGGATATCAGACTGAAGAGTCATGAAGCTCTATAAACCCTGAACAGGTTAAAAATAAAATATCCTAAATATAAAATAAGGGGCTGGGGTTGTGGCTCAGTGGTAGAGTGATTGCTTAGCATCTGTGAGGCACTAGGTTCAATCCTCGGTACCCCATAAAAATAAATGAATAAAATAAAGGTCCAACAACAACAATAAAAATTTTTAATACATAAAATAAAATAAAGCCAAGCCCAGATACAAATAAGAAGAGAAATAAACAAATCC